CCTGTCCCTGGCAAGTGAGCAGGTTTTACTAATACAGGCAAGGACCGTTGACGAGCCGGTGACAACCGTGGCAGGCAAATCAGAGAGCTGCAGTTTTCTGGGACCTACCAAGTGCGCATCCGTTAAAGCGGTCTGCCGACGATCGCGAATTCCAATTCACTTGTGGTGAGAATCGTAGATATGAGAGAGTTATCGGTCAGGTAATTGGTGCCCGCGATACATTTGTCCTTTGCGAGTAACTCGCCTTATGTAAAGATTGGTGTGCAATAGTCCCACTCAGTTCCACAACATCCAGTTGGGAACTTTGCCTTGCGAGAAGAAAGAGGGCCTAGGTGAACCAAGGCTGCCTGCTAGTGTAAGCTAGAGCTGCAGCGCACGCTCGCAAGAGCCGTGGGTGGAAACCATCAGTGCCAGGAGAGGCCGTTAGCCGCAGGGACTTGAGTTTCGCCAGGACCTTCTCCGGAGTGAAATGAACAGTCGTCAAGGAAGTTGAGAGTGAAACCGAAGAAGGTACCGTCGTTGTGTGCAGTGATGGATAGGAGAATGTGGATGCGTACTGCTTGCACAGGACTTCTGCTGCCTCGGTAGCTGATTTCGTGAGCCCTGTGGGGGTCGTCAATGCGGTGACACCGTGTTTGACTTGTCGAAGACTATTGACGTGTCTATACAAGGCTTTGGGATTGGATGAAAATTTACGCATAGGTTGACGCTGGTGCTCACTCTTATCTTCTCGTACAAGATGGACGCATTGGTTACGGATGGATCGGTAATATTCCAACTAAGTAGCCGTTGGACGTGAGCACTAGTTTCTTCATACCGTGTTCCTGGAAGCGATCAACTTCCATGTACTACGGGATAAGCGCTGTGCATCTCTTCCCTATGGGAACTTGTTTGCAGGTCGTGGTGGTGGAGCAGATTTCACGTAGGTAAGGCTTAAGGTTGACTACAAGCGGTAAGCGCGTCTGACTGGGTTTCGGGTGAGCAGTTGTTAGCGGAAAAGAGAGCCTTCAACTTTCGGTAATCATTCCAGCCGCTGGCATAAGCTAGCGTGCTGACGGGTTTGTCTGCGATGAATACAAAATCGAACTAGTGGACGCAGTGGTTGCTGAGCTTTAAAGTTGCCTCATATTCGACGTGCTTAACCATCAGTTCGTTATGTAACGACGAAACGTAGCTGGTATGCTTGATGCTTAGATCGAAATCTGATCAGGCGCTAGGTGTGATTGTGCAAATGGGCCGTGTGAAGAAGACCAATGAGACCAGAAGTAAAGCAGTCAGTAACGGAACAGAACTAAATAGACGGGGCAGGTTAAAATCTCCCATGATAACCAAGTGTACCTTTCTGGGGTAACATAAGGTGGACGTCGTGCAGGCCTTTGTACTTCCTTCTCGGGAGTTGCTGTTGGGTCGGTACGTGATAACAAAACAGCAGCAGAGGGCGTTCAGAACGACCTCCCACCACATGGTGTCAGGAAACTAGCGGGAAGTGTTTGTTAAGCTGCTGCAACTGAGAGACATGTCGTAGCACAATGCGAAACCGTCACCTAGGGTTGCTCGGTCAGAGCGGAGGACTGACATGTGAGGAAGTTGGATTTCACGGTCGGTTAGGTCGTCGGACAGCCAGGTTTCCGTTATGGCTATTAGGTCCGCTGGTGTTGATAGAAGTCGGAATTGGAGCTCCGGAAGTTTGGACATGAGGCCCTGTGCGTTCGTATAGATACAGGTGAGGCCCGTTTGGGTGATGAGCGCGGGAGTAACTAGGGTGCTGCCGGTCAGCAGATGACCGGCAGTGCACCGTTTTTTTGGTTTAGGGGGGTGGAGCCGCTAAGATTTGTAGTTGGGGAAACAAGGTGTGGGTCGTCGGAGCCCAGATGGGTGCTGGCGGCTGGGTCGTTGAAAGTCTGAAGGTTGGAATGTGTAGGTGAGTAAATTACTCCAGGCAGTGAGGCAGGTGGTTCGGTGGTGGACCGACTGAGGACGATCTGGTCAGAGTGTGTCGGTACCGAGTTTGCTGCTGCTGCTACCAGGGGTCTGTGGGAAGCTGTGCGCCTCGGCACCGGTGCCCATCTGGACGCAGACGGATATCTGGTGGTGCTCGTCTTTTATTAGCATACCAGATGGCGAGTGCATCGGTTGCCATGCTAGCGGTGAAGAATGTCACTTTCAGAAGACGGGGGGCTGTTCCTGTATAAGTTGCTGGACGAGGTAAGCGGTGAACGTCCGTTGTGATTAAGTTGACAATACTTAGTGTCTGCTGAAAGAACCGCCATTGATTACAGTCATGACGTTGTCGTTGTTGTAAGGTTGCGTCAAGAGCATGCAGTTCTGGGACGCCATGCACAATGATGGAGCATGGTTGAGTGGGTGGTGTCAGTTGCTGTCTGCGCGCAGCGCGCTTAGTCCAAGGGATGTCGAGGAAGATACGAATTTGGTAAATGCCGAGAGACGCCTTGTTTCGGAGTATGTGTGCTGACAACAGGACATCCTCCATAGCCGGGCCTGGCTGCAAGTCAACACGCAGAAGTCTTGGCTTACCGGCGTTTGGAGATGAAGTGTGGCGAGTCAGTCTTGTGAGACTAATGGGTCTCGTTTCAGGGAGGTTTAACGCGGTACAGATTGAGCTCCACATAGTGGAATCATGAGAATGTCGATTCTGAAGTTGCGGGTCGTTGGACTCGGGCACGTTTGTACATATGACAGAATTAGGAGCAGGGCTACTCGTTATTCGCCTAGACGAACGCGGATGTGAAGCGGTAGCAAGCTTACTTGGTGGGCGGGCCTCCGTCGGAAGCGTTGGTCGTCGGCAAGTGTTGGGCAGACCAGCAGTTGGTAACGGTGAGACGGTACGTGATTCAGGACGGTTGGGAGGTTGTTGTCGTCGTTTGATTAGACCGTCGACTTTCCGCAATAGATTCTGTAGCTGTTCTTCCAGATTAAGCAAGCGCACTTCTGAGCGAGCATTGTTGCTAGACGGCTCAACGAATCGTGGTGACCGGGGCGACTGCGTCTGCGAATGCTTGTTACGCGGTGGAGGGCGGGTTAGTGGGAGACGAGATTACAGAACCAACCATAGGGCAAGTCGTTGAGGAAAGGTCGCAAGAAATATCCAGCACGTAGTTCGCAATTCTGGGAATGCAACCCGGGCAAATGTAAAGCAGGACCGTCTGTGGATGCGAGCGACAGAATTCGATGTCAGCTGCATGGAGCGAGTTGTCACAAGGAGCGTGAGCACAGTGAAGACAGATCGAGCAGGTGATGGCTTTGGAACGAGGTCCTACACGCTGAGTGCAGATAGAGCAGGTGTTCAGTAGCCGCATTGGCGTAGTGGGCGAGACCGAAATGATCGGCATGGTCAAACAGATGACGTACAGATGACACAAATATCTGCAAATAAACGTAGTGGACTGCCTGTCTCAAGAGAACAGAATGCGCAGGAGGTCGCTATCCGCAGCGCCGGGGGTGTGGATGGAAGAAGAGGGGTGGCCAAGCGATGACTTGTTCGGGAGGAATGAAGGCCCTCACTTCTGAGCTGGCCTCGGTTGGAACGTCTCGGCTCCCTGGTTGGGGTCCGAAAGACGATGAACACGTTTGGTTGGACACACTTGCTGATATGGCTAGGAGCCGACCTCAGTGGCGTTCGTGCTGTGGGTTTCTTTGTCCCACCCCATCCCTCTTAGCCTCCCTCTCCAACCACGATCTCATTATTTAGCCTTATATATTTTTTCATAGTAAATTTTATTGGGTGCACAGTAGGCCGGCTGGTAGCATTACCGGACGATGCCATACCTGATACCGGTAGACACAGCACAGTTGCATCACAGACTGCATTTTTTCTCTCCATTTTTTCTATGTATTGCGGCACAGTAGCTGAGGTGTTCCCCACTCCTAGCTAACGTGTATTATGATGATGATAATGACAGCAAAAGTTCGAGGCGCTTTTACTAACCTTCGCCACTTATGGCACCAGGGCAATATCACTCTCAACCTGAAGGATAGAATAGACAATTCAGCCGTACGTTCGACCCTACTGTATAGTTGTGAAACCTGGCTGCTTAAAGCAGCGGACCTGAAGCCGCTAGTTACATTCGACCACCGGTGCCTTTTCAATTTATCTCACATCTGGTGGGAACTCCGAGTGAGCAACGAGCGTGTTCGACGCCCTGTGTAGAGCACAGGAAATGGAAGTGAACCGTTCAGCACCGTTATTTCACGCATCAGGCTCCGATGGTTCGGCCAAGTGTTACGCATGCCAGCCCACCGACTCCCGCGATATGCGATGTTTGCGCGCCGGGGGTGTGGATGGAAGAAGAGGGAAGTGACCAAGCGATGAGTTTGTCGAGATGAATGAAGGCCCTTACTTCTAAGCTGGCCTCCGTTGGAGCGTCTCGGCTCCCTGGTTGACTGTATACACTTGCTAACATGGCAAGGAACCGACCTCAATGGAGTTCACGCTGAGTTTCGTTGTTTCACCCCACCTTTCTTAGCCCCCTCCAAGCACGAGCTCATATCACAGCCTAAGCTAATTTTGCACAATCCATTTTTTGCAGCATGGTAGCCGGCAGGTAGCTTACCGGAACGATGCCCATCCGTTAGCGGTAGCTCAGCTGGCATGCAACTGTTGTACTTTTCTTTTATGTATTGCGGCACAGGAGCTGGTGTTTCTCGCCTCCAGTTAATGTGTATAACGAATATGAATAATGCCCAGACAGAGGAAAATTTCAAGCAGCGGTTGAACGTCCGAATTCCGCTGGTTTTCTGCAGCTATGCTAATCCCTAGGTTATCACAGGTTAGCAACGACACACATCAACGATGCAGTGAATGGGTCATAAAGCTGACACGGGTATTTTATATTCTTCTCATTACGGAATTATTAAAAAAGCATTTTAAATCAATAACTGACAAAATGAACAGCAGCTACAATTTAAAAAAGTATTTGTAATACGCAGTTATTAAGGCAACAAGAACTGAGTAATGCACCATAGAAGGTGTTGCAGCTCACCGGACTCAAAAATAACAGCCCGAATCATATTTTTCGTTATCAGTTTCAAGGTCAAGGTCAGGTCAATACTCAAGGACAAAAAAGGCTTAAACGTAATCAGCAGCCAGCTTATTGTACGGGTTCATTGAGATCAAAAACTTGTAGAGAACGGTGGAAGCCCTTATCGCACCTGCAGTGCCGAAATTGTTCGAGGCCTCTTTGACACAAGGGAACGTCCCACGTGAATGGAAGCAAGCGATCGTACGGCCCTTCCCGAAAGGAGGAAAGAGAAGCAGAGTAGAGAACTATAGACCGATTTGCCTGACACCAGTGCTGGCCAAATTGCTGGAGAAAGTGGTCAAGAAGGCGCTGCTTGAGTTCGCAGAATCACACGGTGTGCTTACATCAGTTCAACATGGTTTCCTAAGAGGACGGTCTTGTACCACGAATCTTCTGATTTCCCGACACAGTTGGATTTAAACAGTTAATGACGGTAGGAGCGTTGATGCCTTGCTGATTGACTTTAGCAAAGCATTTGATAGAGTGAATCACTTTATCTTGCTACCTAAACTCAACAGTTATGGCGTGGGTGGAAAACTGCTGAAATGGATTCAGTCTTTTCTGGACAAGCGGCAGTGGTGCGTCCAGGTCAGTGACTACCGAACGAAATGGTGTACTGCCTCTAGTGGTGTGCCGCATGGCACAGTACTTGGCTCAACGCTTTTTCTGTTTCATATCAACGACTTACCAGGACGTTTGACATCTACTTGCGCGCTGTTCGCAGATGATTTGAAAGTTTGGAGGGAAATATCGACCTCCGTCGATGAAGATATACTGCAAAGTGATCTCGATACAATCTCCTCATGGGCATCAACAAACTGCCTTCCACTGATTGCTGAAAAGTCCGAATTGCTCCGCATTGGCAAGTGCTGTCGGGACAGAACTTACAGTGTCGGTGGACGTCTACTGTGCTCGGCTGCGACGGTTAGAGATCTAGGAGTACTATCCCGATGGGACTTAAAATCGTCAGACAATACGCACAAGGTCTACTGTTTCAGCCTTCGCATATTTTGGTTATTAAAGCGGACCTTCCACGTTTGGTCGGAGGAAATTGCTCTCAGGCTATACGTCTCCATGGTGCGCCCGCTTTTAGAGTACGGGGCACAGGCCTATTATCCAAGTACAAAAGCTGAGATGAGAAAACTGGAAAAAGTCCAGCACCTAGTCACTCGCCTGAGCCCCAAGCTCCGAGGCTTATCTTACCACCAGGGGTGCCACAAGTTACGTCTCCATACACTAGTATACAGGAGATTACGAATTGACCTCATTACAACGTTTAGAATCCTTCACTTGAGACATTTTCCTCACCTGAGACATATGTTCTGTATTGTGGATTCACCTATTACCCGAGGGCATTCTTATAAGCTGGAAGTTTCACGTATGGACAATGTCACTCATATTCACTGTTTCGCGCGACGTATGATACATTTCTGGAACTGGTTGCCCAGTTCCGTTGTTCTTTCTGATTCAGTGCAGTGTTTCAAACGAAACATTGACAAACATTTTTCAGACTTGTGTTTCGATGCAGACGCCATGTTTGACCTCCTTTCGTCCCGTGGTTATGTCACGGCTACACTAGCAACCCTAAAAGACCAAGACACGTAGTGCTTTCTTTGTGCTTATATATCGGTATTTGGTTTGCTTATTACTAAATGACTATTGATGTGCATTCACACAGACGCATATTCGGCACGGGTCATTTTTGCTTTACTTATGATGGAGATCACATAGATTCCTATCTTATACTCCTAATAAATTGATTCTGATTGGTTCTGATTGATGCGTGTCTTTGCGTTACGACGTTCTTCGAGGATTAGTAGCAGTTGCTATGAAAGCAATAAAAATCAAGCATGTTCAGCGAATTTTTGTCTGGCGGCCTCATAAAACTTTCGTTGGACGGCTCAGCTTCAATTTCTTTTGTTTGGCCGTTACAATCATTTACTACTCTAGTTGCTAGGGTGACATCCATGCGAAATCTTTTCTATCTGCTTAAATAGTTGCCATGTGTGACCTCGTGGGAGCAGTCAGTGATGGGAGGGAAGAATTGTTGTGACTCATTTCCAAATGCGCTCGGGGGATGCGCATATTGTAGATAAGATAACACTGCCGACGCCAAATCGTCAGGGAGAATACATTTGTGTATTTAAGAGTATGGAATGTTACTGTAGATAATTCACGCTCGCCACAGCTAGCTTAACAGTCAGAGCATACCACATGCCAGGAAAAGCACCAGACTGCAGCTTCAGCCATACGGGCATCATCAGTCGTGCGCATCCATCGGTCCCTTCAGGATTCGAACCCATGACCACCAACGGCTTGCACCGCCAGTCAGCAGCATAGACCACTGGGCCACGTGGGACAGCTTCGGACCGTCATGGTTTAAAACCAAATGTGATATAGCGCGTGTTATCCTCTATTGCCATACAAGTTACGGAAGTTGCAGAGGAGAGGGTTTGCTACGAAAGACACGACATGCACTAACAGTAGCTATGCACGACGTAGCGTTTAAAAACATTTAGGACTGCAATATTTTATAAATAAATAAATAAACTTTTATGCTCTACAATGCGAGGCACACCTTTACAGGCATGATCATCTTTAGCTAACATAGTGTGACCAAAATCTACAAAACGTACATGTTTGGTATAACAGTGAACGTAAGTGTACGTAACTGTCTATGAATGTAGCTTGTATATTTGCATGTGCCGCAGAATTTTTGAATGTTTGTTATCGGCAGGAATGTGAGAATAGGCAATTGATGTCCGTGGGTTCGCTAACATTTTCCGGATGTCCAGGGGCCAGTGACTTTAATTTGTGGCGAGTCACATACGTAGGGGATTTCGATATAAATACTTAAGGTTCGTCACAGTCAGCTTCCTCATGACTGCTCTTATGCTACCGAGACTTAAACGATAAACGCTCTGCAGACTCCGCTATGTTTCCTCTATCCCGATAACCTGCTAGACTTGTTCAACTTTTATGGTTACAGCCTCTTCCAACCTTTACCCTATCTCCTAATTTAACGCGCCGACTAATCCAGTCCCACCAGAATGGCCTGCTATCTGTTTTCACGCAGATCGCTTCGGCTGCCCCAACAACCTGTTTACATTAATTGGGATGCCTCGGGTAATTTTCCACTCTTTAGCAATAAACGCATCTCACCATGACACTAACTCCCATTGCAGTTCTGTTTTCATTCCTTCTGCAACTGCAGGGCCAGCTGCCGCTGCTCTGCCGTGATCTTGCCTCGCTAATCAGCCTATTCCTCTCTGGCTGCACCTATGATACCGAGACTTAATCCGTCTACGCACTACAGACTCAACCCTACATCTACCGCCGGCTAGACTTGTTCACCAATAGCCGTTAAAGCCCTTTCTCCTGCCTTTAGTGTACGCCTTAATCCAATGCGCTGACTAATCAAGTTTTGCCATATTGGCCTGCTCTGCGAATGCTCTTAAACTGTTGAGACATTACCATTCCTGATTGGATTGAACCAAATATCTGGCCTCGTTACTTAAATAGCCTCGTGTGTTTCTGCATTCTTTTTCAAAAATCTGCATTTGCCCCCTGTTTGGATCGCTGCTATATGAACTGACTGCACTTGCTACGCATTATAATCCAGTTGGCCGCTGCTTCAGCAACGCCGATACCCGTTTCCTGATGGCTTTCACCAAGGATAACCGAGGCCTTCGTTCAACGTTTCACCACTATATCTATTCGACTTTCCAATGCCCGTACTTTTCGTTGCACGCCGGGTTAACGCTTATCTCTATTTGACCATGCGCTTTACCTAGACTTATGCGTGAGCTGCAGTTGTAGTCCAAGCCACATCCGAGTCGTGATGTAAGGAGGTACCTGTAAATCAAATATGCTGAACAAAGTCACGTAGTAAAAAGAACTATGTAACACTGCAGGCAATCACCCATGTAATAGTGTTAATCGATGCTTTCTATTTTGTGTCTGCTTAGTTGCCTCTGGTTCGTTGCTTGATTGTCCTGAGATTTCCACAGACCCGGCGGCCGGGGCATGACGGTTCATCATCTGGTAATGACTGCTCCAACCTCAACAACCAGCCGCTTTGAAACATTGTTGTCTTCTTTGGGACCTCGACAGCCAATTATCATTCCGATGGTACAAATTAACTTCCGAATGGATCCTTCTTTTGGCAATTTGGAGAGATGCCGCACGCACGGTGTCTAAACAGGAGAGTTTACCTCGCCACGCCATCACACTGTCATAACTTACTCACTGGAAATGACTTTACATGGCTCGCTTGAACAAGGAACACTGATTTATAACGGGTAGGAAAGCAAGTGCTTGACAAGTCCCGTAGGGTGTTTAGGGTGAGAAAAGCTAGAGCAAGTGATAATGGACTCGTCAGTTACAGCTTACAGATTTAACTGCACCGCCGTACAAAGGGCGTTTTAAATGAGAAGGTACGCACACACAGCCATAAGGGGCGTGGTTATTTATCACGTAATAGGCGAGAACATGAATAAAGGATGGCAAGGACAAAGCTTACTCGTGTGCAACTATGTTGGGTTGAGGGGCCACAGATATCCAGTTTCCATAGTAGTAGCGTTTATCAAATTTTGTGCAAGTTTTGGAGTGACTCATTCTCGAGTAGGGTTATGGCACTATCCCCTGTCTGTTGTGCATTAGTGCCAGCATCTGGTGGTCATGGGCTGTAGCACATAGTGTAAATGTGACAGAGTATCGTCAAGGCGTTTTTGAAAAGGGATAGAGTGGATGCATTGATTATATGTTCCGGGAGGGCGTTCCAAGGCTGTGTCACTGGAAGGGAGAAATAGTTTCGCCGACATTCCATGCGGCTGTACTGCGTGATCAGCTTAAACTTGTGACCTCTTAGCGGGGTGTTTTGCTTGAGTATTAGAAGGGAATGGCATGGTGGTTGGTGTTTCTCAGGATCAGGTACGCCATTATGTGATCGCCCCTTAGACGCCGATAACGTCCACTGTATATTTTGCG